CATTTTTATGCCGCCCCATTCGCCGAAGCCTTGGGGCGGCTTACAACAATAAATTAAAACATCATAAATAACATTTTAAAATATATACATTAAAATAAAATACAAATATACAATATACAATATAAAATAAGCCACCCTGGCCCGATAAAATTTAATAATATTAACATTTAAAATGCTGCTTATCAACTATCTCGGCTGCAAGAACAACCGCATTAAGGACAAGGGCTGGGGAAATCCTTCCACTGTGCTTAGAATCCTCCACATTAGCCCTCTTCAATCAGAGGTCCTCCAGATGTGTTGGCTGGAGATGTTGAAAGTGGTAGTCCCAGGCATTTGAAGGGCATCAGCTCTCCATGAAAGGGAAAGTTGCACCATTGGAGTTCTCAACCACAAAGACATTGGGGTAGGCCTAGTGCATCCCTTACCGCCCTGCCCCCTAGGCATGTGGGAGGAAACTTCTGGAAGCTGCTCAAGATGCAAGAAGAGGTCTACATTTATTTCCCAAAGCAACCATGGCATGGGATACGGGGGAATTGGATGGAGGCTGTAAAATGGAAGAAAAGGGGGTATGTTCTCTTCCCCTACCTTACTCATGCTGTTTTCCTGATGAAAAATTTCTGAAGCCCTGGTTAGGAAAAACAGCAGGGTTCCAGCTCCTGCCCTCTGGCTGCTATATATGAAGAAATGTGAAGGGGTGAAAATAGAATCATGCATCTTTGTCCTAATGTATTGTTTGACTCTTGAGCAACAAGAGTTAAATGACTTCTTTTCCCTTAGCCCATATGAGCCTCCCTAGAGAATCCACTTTAAGTTCCAACTTCTGTAGAAAACAGGCTGGTTTCCAAAAGAAACAAAGCCGTCTCTTTCTCTCTTTGAAAGAAAGTTTATGCCTTTCTATAATTATAATATTACATTTTGTGCTCCAGTTGAAAATTCCGGTGGATACATTTTCTATCGTTGCTACAATGAATCTAATTCCTTTCTGAGAGTAGATCTAGTCTGTTTATCCATCTCAGCCATCTCTCAAATCTGTTTTTCTTTTGTGTGGGTAGGTACGGCTGTCAGTTTCCAGTGCCAAACTTAAGGTGCTCCCAGATGGAGAGCCCCTAGCACTAACAATCAAAAGGCCTTGTGTAGCTATTCCGTCCTTTCTTCCTTGGTAGATATTTTATTGGAGAGAAAAAGGATGAGAGGAGTGGCAGGAAAATGCAGGAGGACTGCAAGTGGATGGCAATGTCTGCAATTCATGTAAGATTGCATGAATGAAGCAGTGCCATTGCACACTGAAATTCTCTTCTGAAAGTAAGCCTAAATAATGATGATATCCAGCAATGAAAGGTTTTCAAATGCTCTTCTATGTGCTTTTCTGCTTTTGGAAATCAGTACCAATTATTGAGAGTCTTGGATTTTATTTTTTTTAATACTGTAATGCTCAACCTTGTTTGTTCAGGAATTAGCTTATCTTAATATTGGTTTTTCATTGTGTTTTTGTATGATTATTTTGGAGAAGAATAACATTTACAAAAAGTTAGGCCTCGTTGTCTAGTTCTTAACATAATGATTTTGTAATATAAAATGATGATCTTGAAGATTTGCTTGTCCATCTTAGCATTCTGTGTGTGTTCATAGACATGTTCTTAGGTTGGGTTTGGGGTGAAAAGCTTTGCTTATGCATCCCCCACAATTCTCCAGTATAAGCTTCTAAAGAACCAGGTGTCCTATATGTAGTAGCTTTCCCCAGTTTGGTGCCCCCCTGTGTTTTGATGTGTTGATAATACAGAACATTCCTTAGGCAAGTGGGCTGAGGCTCATGGGAAGTGGAGTGATGTTCAAAACATCTGGAGGGCATCAGCTTGGGAAAAGAAGCAGGTGTGAGGGAGAAAAGTAGGAAGGAAGTAGTTCAGTTTATAGGTATAGATCGCTGCTGCGAGATCAGGCAAATGGCTTCATTGGCAGGACCAAAGTCAAGTCAGTCAGCCCTGTTTTCTGAACTCAGCTCAAGGAAATGGCAGCTATGATTCCCAATATCTCCAGTCCCACTTTTCCCCCTCTTTGAGCCCATGTGAGTCAAACCTTGTGTCACTCTTTGGTAAGTTACCCAAGCTGGAGAAACCAAGATTGTCCTTTGGCCACCTACTGTGCATTGGCTGACTCCTCAATATCATGAGACAAGAAACATCTTGTGTTGAAGGTCATACACGATGCTTTATGGATGATTCAGTCTGGCCCATTCAGTCTGGCCCATTTCATCCCAGAAGTTCAGAAGGCCTGTCCAGCTGACGGCCCTGAGAGAATGCAGCTTCTGTTCCCAGGATTGGCTCAAGGTGCCTTCTGCCCTCAAGCCTTTCTGCTGAATCACTGCTTGTTTACAGATCAGAGAGAGGAGAGAAATGTAAAGTCTAGCAGAGAAAAAACACAAGTCCTAGTTATGGGTGGGAAGGGCAGTGTTGTTTGATTTGTGGTCAATCTCATCATTTTGCTTGTTCTGTCTTTGTCTAGACTCTTATTAGCATATCAGCTGAAAACCAGAAACATGCAGGGGGTGCAGATTAAAGCTGCGTTTGGGTTCCTCAAAATATCTTTGGTCAAGATCATTTAAATTATGATTCCACTGAACAGTGTGCCAAACTGCAGTTTGCTTAAGAAATCACAGTCTAAGGAGTGCATCACACATTTGATGTACATGATCAAATGCAGTGCTCAGAGTACAAGGAGACTCGGCCCTCTTAGCTGATGTTTGCAAAAGGTCACAGGTTTGGCTAAAATTGTGGGGTCCACAAATGGCTAAGTTCATTCTCTTTCATGGTTATTATGTGTATGCATTGATGTCTTGCATGGAAAAGCCTACAAATCAAGCCCTGCACGGACCTGTGATGGTTACCACTGTCATCTCAGTGCTAGACTTAGACCTTAAACAAAAACACTGCAGATTTGCTACTTACTTAATGATGGCTTTAGGCAAGTTACTTTCACTTCACTCCCCATCACTCTGTTAAAATTGATTTCTAGTAAGTGTTGTATCATCCTGAGTGTTCACCAAATCACAGGCATCTACCGTGATGCTTCCCAAAATTAATAGCATGCTGCTGTTTAGATTTGAACAAGTCCCCTTGCATTCTTGCTTTTTGATGGGCCGCAGTGCATGTTTGAAATCTTGTAAGGCTGTATACGTGGCAGAGCAGCGAAGGACCGTTGCGCGCCCTTGTCTCTCCCGGCCATACATACCACACAACTTCTACCGAAACAAATAGAGCTGTGTTAACACAACCAGGCAATGCTCTGTAATCCTGATTTTTCTTTTATTCTTGCATGGTCTGCGGTTGAAGATTGGAGGGGAAAGGGGATAACAGGTCCCAGCTCCTGCATGCCTTTCGTAGTAGAGACTTGTCTGGCTGTGTCCAGAGGAGAGAGCACAGCTGCATAAAATGGAGATGGCTACTTCCCAAGGCTCCACACATAGCCGGTAGACCCCAAAGAAGGTCTCCTCTCCTCCCCCACCCCCCAAGGAAGGGAACAGCCATTTCAGGAGGCTACAATGCTTGCGCTGTTCAAGCACATTTTTGCCAGAGGGCTCCAAGGGCTAGTGTGGTTTCAATTTTTGTCTTCTGCACTCAACCTCTCTGCACAGTTATTTTATATATAAGTGCTACTAAAACAACATTGAATTACATCCAAATAAATAAGAGTGGGCTGAGCATTTAAAATTCCCATTGCTGTTCAGACATTAAATAAGCCATATGAACACTTTCAGGAAAATGTCATTGGATATATTCAAGTCACACATGTGTTAAGCACAGCATCCTGTCTTTTGTTTATTGCAGGGATAATTATTTATGTATTATTTATTAAAAATATTTATGGTGTAACCCTCTTTTCTCCCTGTTGACTGGCCCTCCAGTTGGATGATGCTATTTAAGAATGAACAACACATAAGAAGTGGTGACGTATGAAAGCTGTTTATGTTAGAGTTCTTATTATACTGTGTATTATTCAAGGTGTGCAGAAGAAATCATAAGTTACAGCACTATTCTATGAGAAATACTAGTTTAGTTAATTTTACATCTTTCTTGATTTGAGTATATAACCAAAAAACCTGTAATCCCTCTTGCTTTCTACAAATACTTATTAATAAACAATGCCAAGAAAGCAACAACAACAACATGCAAAGGTCTTAAAGCTCTCAATGACTGGTCACAAAGTGATGGACCGTTTCTTTCCATATTAAGCTCCTCAGACCTTGAAGCTCTTGTTGGAGGCCCTTCTTCAGGCACCACCTGATGAAATGAGGTTCATTGAGTAGATACTAGGGGATGGGCCTTCTCAGTGGTAGTGTCTAGACTGCCTAATACCTTTTCCAGAGATGCTTGTTTGGTGCTTGTTCTCTTGGACTTTTTAAAGGTACCCTTAATGGGTTTTTAGACTGTTGGTCTTGTACATTTGTAAGACATGACTGTGTTTTTATTGCTACCTCTCTGATGTGCTGTTCTGTATTTTATTGTTTGAAACTATTTGTTTCTTATATTTTTATCACTGTTTATATACACAACCTAGAGAATCTTGACCATGGGGCAGCACAGAAATAGAATAACCCTGTACCCATTGTTCTGGAGGTAAGACTTATTGACCTCAGTGGAACATGCGGTCCGCATGTTGTCCAGTTAGTGATGACTGTTGCTCCCTGTACATCACCGGATGCATGCTAGTTACTTCTATTGTTCATGTTGTGGAATATGGGATACACTTTTCATTTTCTGCTTCTATTATTATGAGGATGAAAGGAAATGAACAGAAAAGGGGAGAGAGTGACTGAAAGCAAAATGTGGGGAGACAAATGGCTGCACATCCAAAGTAAGTTCTCCAAGGGAGTAAGTTAAAGGAGTTTCGCATCTGGAATTCAAAATAGTTGAGCCCTTTGAGCTCAGTATAGGTTCTTGGATGTATTTCTGACACAATTATGAGGCTACTGTGCCCAGATCTGATTCTGCCCTTTTCTCTCACAGGCCAGCCTCAGAGTCGAGTAACAGTCCGGACTCCTCCAACCTCAGCTTTGGTCCCTCTGCTGCAGAATGGTGCCAGCCACGATCTTAGCAGCTCTAACGGCGAGGCTGGGAATGGTGTTTTGTGTTCTGAACTCAGGTCACTGTCCAATTCCCAGAAGCCACATCGGAAGCTACAGTCACATCACTCCATCAATAGCCAGATCAGTAAAAAGAGTAAAGGCAGCTCGAAATCTGCATCTTCTCAGATCCCTACTGAAGCACAAGAAGGTACCTCTCTCCATGCCTTAATATTTTGTTATTTGTTTAGACTTTATTCGGCCCTCAGATCATCAAAGAAAGAAATAGTAAAAGAAAGCCAGTGTAGCAGTGCCTAGGTGGTAGAAAAAGTGAAATTCTCTGCTGGCCCTGGTTTTTGTCTAGCATAATGCCAGCATACCAGGTTCTTCCTGATCATCCCTAGACAGGTGGGGCTTACAATCCAACACATCTGGGGAGGAGACCAGACTGGGGAAGGCTGCTGTATACTGCCTTTTGATTTCCCAGCTACTTGGACTAGATTAATGGAAGTTATTACATACATGGCCTCTTGCAGGGGGTGGGTCAATGCAAGGGTTTCCTGTATTGAAATGTACATTGACCTCCCACTAGCAGATAGTCTACTCTGAAGTTCCAGTCCATGCACTCATCAAGTGAGCAATTCATCAATAGCTGAGACCCTGCTCCCAAGACAGACAGACAGACAGACAGCAGCCCTGGAATCCGTTCACGTCATGGATGGAAAGGGGTCAGCAGGCACATGGGCCAGTACAATGAAGATGTGTAGGCCAAAAGTGGAAAGTGGATCAGGAGAGGAAGCAAAGCACAGGCAAGGACAGTAGTGAGATGGGCTTAAGAGCGCTTATTCTTGAGATACATACTTAGTCCCAGATCCCTGCTCACATTGTTATGCTATGCTTGAACATCCCTTTCAGAGTTTAATAACTTAAGTTGCCATGGCAGCTATCAGCCTCCACCAGAGTTTCTCCCTTTGGGGCGTTTTAGAGGCCTGGGCCCACTCTTTCAGCACAGAGGCTGAGCCCAGAGCATTTGTGCACAACCCTATGGGTTCCCTGCCTCGCCACATGGCATATATGGTGAAATGCAGCCTTCACAGAGGATGTAGGCACAGCATATATTTTGAGGCTACCAGCAATAATTTCCTCCCATTGATTGCTACTTATCAGGCATGGGGGATGTTCCCTGTGTAGACAAGTCCTTATTTCTCTCACTGAGAAGCTGTTGTGGGGTCTTTGTGTGAGAACAGAAGAGTATTACCTTAACTGAGGGCCAGTGTTGCTTGCTGAATTGTAATTATAGCCATTTTGCCTGACCAGTCAGGCACCAAATGCTTTCTAAGCTCACATAGCAGGAAGTCAGCCATTTGAATCCCTTTCTTCCTTTCTGTAATTCCATCTTTTCTTCCAACATGACTGCTCATATGTTGAGAACTGGGGATCTCAATTTTTTTAGGTCAGTGGGCACAGGATGCCAGGATGCTGTGGATACCCTCAAAAAATGGCTACTATGGGGTGGTTGTGGGGAGACTGCTGATTCATGGAGGGCATGGCTGGTCACAAAGCACTCCCTGTCCAGAAGACAAACTAACGAGACTCAAAGAAAAACAGCTCGTTCAAGAACTTCAGTAAAATTTGCATTTAACGCTAAAACTAAAATGCTAAAACACGAAAACAGTCTTTGGAACCCAAAGGAAGATAAAGCTTGAGGGCAGCCCTTGAGTTTGGTGCATGTCAGCCTACCAATTATTATTACCTCAGAGAAAAATCAGGAAGTATGAGGAGCCATCTTGGCACTGGGAATGAGGTCTGTGGGCCTATGGAGGACGTGGCCACCAAGTTGGAGACCCCAGGCTAGAAGTATGTGCTTATATGATTACAAAACAAGATGTGCCCAAGTTCTCAAAGCATTTGCCATCTAAAAGATACAACATACAAATGGAAGAGAGTGGGAAGCAATAGTATGGGCACGTGAAACACATGTTTGTGTGCTTAGGGAAAAGTTTAAGATCTTGGTTTTATTGAAGTGAGGGCAGGTTGTTGTTCTTTAGATGGACAAGTGATGACAAACCAGACTTTGTAGTTGCACCTCATTCTTCTGGCTGCTGCAGGGCCACTCTGCAAAAGAAGTCAAGTGACTGTTTATCACTGGAGGGTTTTTTTTTTTTTGCAGCCCCCTGGAAGCGTCCTTGCTCATCCTCCTTTTCAGACAGTTGTAGGGCGTCAATGGTCTATGATAGGATTTGTTCTGGGAGAGTTTTGATGGATAGGGAAGGCCTTGGCCACAATAATTCTTGCTGTAGATAGTGTTGTGGTTACCATTCTCCAACCGCACAGGGATGCTGCCAAGGTCCCTTAGGATACTGGAGTGTAACTGGTTGGTTTCAGCATGGCTCATCTTGGTGTTGGCAGGATTTAGGAGCAGTGCCTTTGCAGAATCAGGCTGTGCTCCAGGAGCACACTATGTTGCTTTCCATTTCTTCTTCCCTTCCAGTTCTGACCCAATCACTTCTCTCCTTGAACTGTTTCAGCCTGCCATGCTTTGCTAGCTTTTGCCTGCTTTTTGACATCCTCTCCCTTCTGCTTCCAGATTGCTGTGTCCACTGCATCCTCTCCTGTCTCTTCTGTGAGTTCCTGACCCTCTGCAACATCATGCTGGACTGTGCCACTTGTGGTTCCTGCAGCTCCGAGGATTCTTGCATCTGCTGCTGCTGCTGTGGCTCCGGGGAATGTGCCGATTGCGACCTGCCCTGTGACATGGACTGCGGCATTATCGATGCATGCTGTGAGTCAGCTGACTGCTTGGAGATCTGCATGGAGTGCTGTGGCCTGTGCTTCTCTTCCTGAAATCTGGAGCCGGATCTCGTTCCTTGAATAGGAGCTCTGAGCACAACTCTTCTGGGGTGGAAGACCTTGATAGTGAGGCTGCGCTGTTCTCCGTCATCATCAAATGATCAGGAGCCAAAGAGGTTTGGGCAGGAGATGAGCTCCCCAGGAGGCGACAACATTCCCTCTATTGACATCAACATCCTAGGTTCAAAAACAGCTTGGGAACAAGCAGCGTTTTTCCCAGACTGATTTACCGATTTGAAGGACAAGTCATGCATAAGCTCTCTTTTGCTCTCTCACACCCTCACTTCCCCCTCCCACCAGAATTCTCCAAATGGAGGCTGGGGAAGAGCAGTGTTCCTGCTGCCTGAGCCAAGAGCAGAAGAAGAGGAGCTGCACTGCTGGCTATGCTGCTCACCAGGAATCTGGAACAGCCACAACAAGGGCAAATGCTCTGCTGCCTCTCATCTGGTGCACCAGCAAACTGGTCCAGCTGCTGTCCGGCCGCAGGATACTTTGCTGGCCCTGGTGCTTGTGTGCTAGCTGCAGCACCTGATGTGGACTGATGTCAACTCGCTGGCATCCTTGCTGCCTCCTGGCTGGCTACGAAGCATCTCAGGCGCCCAAGGGAATGGCAGCTAGTCTAGTGCGCCAAGAAGAAATGTTTTCATGCAGCTGCCCTAGCCTCATCCCCAGCGTCGTAGCTATAGCTGGGTTCTTCCATTGGCACAATGGAAGGAAGCCAAAGCCTCTGAGAAGCTCCAAATCCAGTGAGAAAAGGATTGGTGAGGATTCCAATAACGTTTGTCAGCAGCAAGAAGCTGATGTTTTCTGTGAACTCTTTAAGAGGAATCCTACCTCTGCCCAGGCCCTTCCCAGTCTTGTAGCTATCCTTTTGCTGCGGATGTCAGTGTTGAGACTGGGAGCCCCCTGCGGCCAGTGTGCATCAGCCTCCATGCCCACACGGCCTTCCAAGAGCCTAAAGATACTCTGGAGAGGGTTTTTTGACAGGCTGTGGGATATCTCCTTCCTGTTTGGACACTGGAGGGCAGGAGGAGCCTCTGCTCCTTGCCTGTTTGCACAATTGGCAAACCCAAGGCTTGACTGGAAGGGACATATGTAGTCCATAACCTGTCAGCAAGACCCTGGACCACTGATGTAGTGACCTCCAGAGTGAGCCATCCAAACTGGCCAGGCTGGGGGTGGGGGGGGGGCAGCTGGTACCAACTCAGAGCTGGGCAGCCGTGCCATACTGACTCCTCCAGTTCCATTCGGGATGGGAAGGTTTCTATTTTTCTGATTTTTATTTGTTACCATAAATAAAAATATGTTTCATTCCTGACCCAGATTATTCTTCTGTGTTGCATGTTGGCAACTAGCGAGGGAGGGCTATTTCAGCTGAGATATTTTTTTACACCCAACTTGGAAGCCTGAGGGGGCTTAAAAAAAAGTTTCCTTTTTAAAAATGCTTGTAACAATACGTTCATGCACATGTGTGTGTTTTGTACTTTTTCATCATACCTAACCACACAAAAATCTGAAATGGGTCTCACTAGATACCTCTGCAGGACTGGGAGGATAGCAAGAAATAGCTCCAGAATTCTGATTCATTCCAGCCCGTGGCTCCGAGAACATGGGTAGCTTCCCTAGAGGGAATTATTTTTCCAACCCTGGAGTAGTGTGTGCGCAAGAGTCTGTCAAATATAAACATCATTTCATCGCATGTGGGAAAAGTTCACATATGAAGACCTAAGTAGGTAAAAAAGGCTGGTGGAAAGCCATGAGAAAGACCAGTTTTTACCATGTTCATTTGATTATCCCTTAGCCCAGATAAGCTGCATTTTTGGCTGGAAGCTGAAGCCCCTCCTCAGCTTCCCACCAACAGGTCTCACTTACGGTGCTAATTAGGTATTGCTGGCAGCTCACCGGCCCTTGCTCCATCTGTGCCAGCTATTTAATGAACTGCCACTGACAGTAATGGGGAGCAGACTCCTCTGTCTTAGCCAGGACCCACAGAGAAAAAGAAGGAAAATAGAAAAGCAGGCAAGTGCACTCTGCACGCTTGTCTGGCGCAGGAATTGGAAGCGGCGTGGTACATTTTCCATCCTTCGCTCCTTTGCTGATGTTCGCATTTCCCCATCGGTGTTTTGAAAGAGGGAGTCAAGAGGAGGAAGTGACAAGCCAATGGCTGCCAGTGCCTTGTCAGCACTGATAATCGGACGCTATATGGACAAGTTACCTTCCTGAATACTGTAGAACATGCTGGTGAGTCTGCAAGAGAAGTCCAGCCATGAAAAGCAAGCGAGCTTCCAGATGCTGCTTTGTGCAATTGCCCAGCCTCAGCCATGGAAGTTCATGGGTGGTCCAGACAACAGTGTCTTCCTTTTGTAGCCTTCCTATGTTTTGTTACCATTTCTTCCATCTTTTTCCTTCCAAGGGGAAAAAAACGGCTAAGGGGGGTGGGAATGGCAGAATAGCAGCACAAGGTCTTCTAGGTGCTAACACTCTGAGTCCTCTGCCTGGAAGCACCCAAGTTACCCATGAATGTGGGATATCTCAGGAAGCACGGAGAAACCTGAGAGAAGCTGATGAATGCTTTCTGTGTATCTGCAGCATTAAATCAAAGAAGAAAGAAGAGGCTCTTCCACTGGCACTGTAAATCAGGAGGCCAAATGAGGCCTGGATCCCCAAGCACACCTGTCCCCACTCTCCAGGCCTTTTCCAAATCCCTCTCTCTCGCAGCAGTAATACCGGGGCCTCCCAGCCTGCATCTGCTTCGTGGGATACATGCCCTCCCTCCCCTTCTCCACTACCAAAGTCTTTCAAATAACCTTCGTCCTTCCATAATGATGGGAGTTTTGCTAGGAAAGAATAAATAGTCTGAACTATACAAAATATGAGATATGTTGGCTAATTAATACACGTATGATAACATGTCTCTAATTAGCTTTCATGGACATCCTAAAAATACCTTGGCAGAAGCAGATGACCATGTATTAAACGCAAGATGAAAGTGGGGTGGGGGGACATGATTACCCAGTTGGTTTTCAGTGAAGAGCAGAGATAATAGTTGCAAACTGCAATTCCCTAGATTAACCCTCTGTAAGATAACAATGCGTGAATTTACTACAGTTTTATAGAGCTTGGGGGTGGATCACAGCTTTATTCTGCCTATAAAGAGAATCAGTGACTCTTGAAAAGATTGAAAGCTCTTGTCTCGTCTTTCTTTTATATGAGTAAAGAGAAATAAGATTGCTGGCTATCACTAGGCCTTTGCATCCCTTCTCCTGATCGGGACCTCAGAGAGAGGCTGTTGATGCTGTAACAGAGGAAGAACATTGGGTTGGGTCCAGGGTAGCACTCAGTGAACGTCCATATGTGCTGAATGGAGAAAGTAGGGGATCCATCTTCATGGTTCTGCCTTTCTGCCGTGCCTTCCAGAACAACTGCTGGCAGTCTACACAATTCTACAAAGCAGCAGGAGAGGCAGGGCAGGGAGGAGATACCAGCCAAGGCTCCTTTCAGCAGGGAGCTTTGGCTGGATCCCAGCGCCTCCTGTGAACAGGGGGAGCCCTTCTGTCCATGGAATGGCAAAACCTGATCCAACCCTATTCTGATATTCTGACATCCTCTTGGGTTGCTTTGTATCGGTCTAATCTGACAGGTTTGGCACTTGGTAGTGGTGATTGTGTAAACCAGGAGAGAAGAGGGAAGGAAGACAACAGGGCCATATCTGTAATTGTTTATTTTAAGAAATGCATGTCCCCCTTCCTCTGTTACTGGTTCCAGGATGGTGTATAATGTGTGAAAATGAATAAAATACAACAAGCGAGAATCACGTATCAACAGCATAAAGAGTGGCAGAAAGAGCACAAAGAGGGATTTATAAACTAACTTAAAGGTCTGGAGAAATTAAAAGCTAAGTTTTGGTGTATAAAATCAACCAAGTAGGTGTCAGCCCTACTTCTTGGGAAAAGAGTTCCACAGGTGGGGTACCTACCCTGAAAAAGCCCTCTGCATGGTTCCCACCACCTTCGCTATGATGTCAGGAGCAGCCAAGGGACATCAGCAGCTGACTATAGCTCAGAGCCAGAGGGAAGTGCAGTGGCGGTGTGGTGCACCATGTGTTTCCACGGAAAGGTCCCATGTCCCATTCCCAGCATACCAAAATAGTGTAGCAGGCTAGAAGGGACCTAGAGGGCAGCTAGTCCAATCTCCAAATTAATGCAGGATCTGCAAGGCAGAATGCAACCGAAGCATCTGAGAGAGAGAGAGAGAGAGAGAGAGAGAGAGAGAGAGAGAGAGAGAGAGATGGCTGTCAGACCTTTATTTAAATACCTTCACTCAAGAAGAACCCAGCCTCTTTCAAGGCAGTTTCTTTCCCTGCTGAATAAACTTCATCATTGGGAACTTTCTTCTAATTAGGCAAGATCTGCTTCCCTGCAATATTCAACCTTTGGTCCTACTTCTGCCCTCTGGAGCAGCCGCACTCCCTCTTCTGAATGGCAGCCTGTTCAGATATTTGAGGACAGCTATTGTGACTCCCATTCATCTCTTCTCAGGGCTAAAGTTAACCAGCTGTTTCAACTGTTCCTCATGGGACTTAGTTTTTGATCTCTTCACCATCCTGGCTACTCTTCTCTGGACATACTCCAGATTTTTAAAAAATGTCCTTCTGAAAATGCAATGCCCAAGCCTGGGTAGAGTATTCCCAAAATGGCCTGACAAATGCAAATTAAAGTGGAACCAATGCTTCCTGTGACTTGGCCCAATGCTTCCTGTGACTTGGCCCAATACTTCTGCTAATGCAGCCCAAAACTGCACTTGTTTTCCAAGCAGCTGCACAAACTAGATAGGGCTGGGAAAGACCCCTGTCGGGAGCCCTGCAGAGCTGCTACTAGCCAGTGCAGACCATTCCGAGCCAGAGAGACCCATGTTTTGACTCAGTATAAGGCAACTATGTTCCTGCGACAGCAGTGGCAACCAGTGAGGATGGTTATTCATAGGTACTTCAGTCCCACACCATATAGACTGCTGGAGGTAAGTGCCAGCACCTTGAACATGGCTTGGAATTCTGCAGTTGTTATCCCACCTGCATCTTTCTGCACTCCCTTTACTCAGTCACCTTCTCTTCCTAACCCCAACCAACCCCAGTGATCACTCTGCAACCTCTTTCTCTCTCCCAACAGCCAAATGCATGATGTCTTTTCTAATTGCACCTCCACTTCTGTTACCTGTGTGTTTTCCCCTTTCCTCACCCACCTGCCTGCTAAAAAAGCACACTGATCTCTTAACTCATACTCCAGACTCCCTTGCTCTCAGATAGGACAAACTTGGCTGCAACCTGTTGGGTTGGCATCTTAAGACACTAACCATGACTCACTTCTGACCCTCCCTCTTCCAGCTGCTGCCAGTTTACCTGCCCTCTGTAAGAGCTTTTCTACATGAGGTTGTAAATTCACTGCATCAGCTTTTGGGTATGCTGTGGAAGTGAGGTCCAAGCGCTATGTGAAGAGCATTTCCTTTCTTGCTTTTCTGTTACCTAATCGCTAGGTTAGCAAATGGCTAGGTTAGCAAACTAGTATAGCAACATGGCACTCTGCTACATTGAAACTGCATGAAGTGTTTTCTTGCTCTTTCATACCACAGTGCCACCTAGAGGTTATGTAGCTGAACAGCAGCAAAGGAAAATTTCGATTTCAATTCTGGGACAAAACCAAAAGTCAGCACAGTGGATTAGCAGGCTCTTGTCAAAAAGTCTGTGCTGCACATACATTGGCTTATCAGATCGGGTGGGAAGGAGCCACAAATGATTTCCATGTAAATACTAGTGTGTGGCATAAGCCAACCTTTTTATCTGATTATCAGAAATCCTTTCCAGCCGCAATATGTGCACACTGAATGGAATGAAGCAGAGGGTAGTAGAGAGCTACCTGGTCTTTCTTCTCCATCTTTGGGAGAGCATGAAGTTACTGCAACACAGGGGTGCTGAGCCTCCTCCAGCCCGTCTAGCCCAAGGGCCAAATTCCATTTCAGAGGTGCTCTCAGAGACAGAGTTCCAGAGGTAGGCAGTGCCAGGGCTTATTCTATCTTAAAAGTATCTTTGACCAGAACTAAACCTTAGGAAAGGCTTTCAGTCTGTTAGAACGGAAGTGGGTGATGCCCACAAGCAAGGAAACCAGCAAACCAAGCGGGTGGGGCCAGGTAACGGTGGTTTGGCCTTCTGGAGAAGTCAAAAGAGCCAAATTGGGACCCCAGGAGGGCTAGATTTGGCCTATGGGCCTGAGATTTAACACCCCTGATATAACCCAACAAAGATGGCAATGGACTATGGCAGGTTAT